CCGGGGAGTTCTCCAATGAGTCCTCACCCAGTTTCTGAATCTTTTCAGTGTCCTACACTTGGGGGTTTTACAACCACGATTTCTTGGTAAGCAGCAAAACATGTTTGCTGTCTATGCGTTTCCGCAGTGAACCAAGTAATGAGTATGGGGGCAGTTGGGGAGGCTGCAGAATGTCTGGTTGCATCACAAAGAGAGGTCGGTGATGTCATGGAGCGCATCACAGCGAGGACAGGTCAGCTGTGGCCCTGCAGCAGGGCTTGCTCTCTGCACAGCCCCCTCTGGGCTGCTGCTGCTCTCCCTCTTCCCACAAGTCTTGTCCAGGTGGTGAACTCAAGGCCCTGGGGAGAGCAGGGAGCAGCCACTTGAAAGAATGTGCTGCTAAAAAGTTATTTTCCTTTTTTTTTTTAATGTAGAAGTACTGCTATTTATTTAGCCACTGGTTAGCTGATTGAATTGTGCATGAACTTCACCTTACTTTTTTAAATTCATTTTTATCATTTTCTTTATTGAATCTCCGTGAGAGCAGTTACAAAGCTTTCGGGTCTAAGTCTCAGTCATACAATGAAACACCCGTACCTTCACCAGTGCCTATTCTCCACCACCATAACCCCAGTATACCCCCATCCCACACCCTCCCCTTACCGGTGGGGCAGATGATTTCCACATTACTCTCTCTCTACTTTGATCACATTCAATATTTCGACACCAGACCCACCATTATTATTTGAGATTTTACCCCAACACTCAGATCTGCTGAAAAGGCAACCGTAGACAATTTGTGTTCTATTGCTGGTTAGGGATAACATATGATGTTGCGCGGCTGCAGTAGGGCCATGTGATTTTGAAATTCTGAAATTTTAACACTTAAATCTGCAGGGATTTCTGCCAAAAGCCACTGGGTTTCGAGATTTGCTCCTGAGTGTCTTGGATCATGGCCATTGAGCAGCTTGATCAGGAGCCAGAGAGGCCTTTCATGGGCGATGACTTGGGGTCTCGTTGGGGTAGGGAAGACAGGCCCGGCTCCTCCCCCATCCTGTGAGGTCCTACCGTTTCGTCACTCTGGGCATAGACCTGACTGTCCAATGGCCTCTAGAGGATGATGACCACTGAACCGCCAAAGGGGAGCAGGTGGAGGGACAACACCCTTTCCCCCCTGGTGTGGCCTGGTGACAATAACCTACTTCGTTGTCCAGACACATTTCTGCTAAAAGCCCCTGGATTTCGAGATTTGTTTCTGAGTCTCTGGGATCATGGCCATTAAGTAGTTCAATCAGGAAGCAGAGAGGCCATCCCTTCAATTATATAGCTGAGCTGGAGGTGTTTTGTGGGTGTGTTTCCCACACACCTAACTTTTGGCCGTTTACTTTCTTGGTAAATTTTGCCTCAAGTTTTTGTGGTCTGATCAAAAGGCACAGCAGCAATTTTTTTTTCACTAGTGAGACATCATCAGTTACAGTTGTAGACTTACATATTTGTGTTTGGGTTTCAATTATACAGTGATCAAATACCCATCTCTCCACCAGTGCCCATTTCCCACCACCATGGATCCCAGTATTCCTCCCACCCCCAATTCCTCTCATCCCACCCTGCCACTGTAGCAGGGCATTCCCTTTTGTTCTCTCTCTCTTATTGGGTGTTGTGGTTTGCAAAAGAGGCAATGGGTGACAATCATGTTTGGTCTATAGTCTACATTCAGCATGCTTCTCCCATCCTGGGAGGATCCTCCCAACTCCTTTATTTGGTGTTCCCTTCTCTATCTGAGCTCCCTTTTCCCCTTGCATGTGTGGTTGGCCTCCAAGCCATGGAAGAAAATTCCTGGTAATATTCTCGGCATTCTTGGGTGTTAATCTCCTATTTTGTTACTTTATGTTCCTCAGATGAATGCAATCTTTCCATGTCTATCCCTTTCTTTCTGAGTCATTTCGCTTAACATGGTACTTTCCATGTCTTACCACTTGTATGGAAATTTCGTGACTTCGTCTTTTCTAACAGCTACATAGTACTCCAGTGTGTAAATGTGCCAAAGTTTCTTTAGCCAGTCATCTGTTCTCAGGCACTCAGGTTTTTTCCAGATTCTGGCTTTTGTAAATAGTGACACAGCAGCAATTTTGGGGTATCTGGAAGTGTGAAGGCGCCATGAGGCTGCTGATGCCCTCGCCTCACGGGTATACATTGACCTGCTGGCGACACCATACTCCTGTCCTTTTTTTTTTTAAGTTCAGCAAAAATAGATTATTGTAAGAAATTTGGAGATTGGATGTGAAGGGAGAGAAAGTGAAGAATGTGGATTCATGAGCAAACATGGGCTTCTCCAAAGTAGAAAAAAGTTGGAAGAGAAAAACTTGTTCAAGGGAGAACATGGGTTTCTCCAGAGTGAAAAAATCTGAAAGTGCCAGACTGAAAAAAACTGAAAGTTTTTTTTCATGGGAAAAAAAATCCAAGCAATAATGAGTCTGTTATCAGCAGCATACCTGAATCTGATGTTGAGTTATTTTGGAATTGCTGCTGCTTAAAGCAATCTTTTAATAGCATCAGGGCTGCAGACTTAATATAAAGGATGGTGTGTCGTTTGAGTGCAAGATGCCCAGGTTCCATTCCTGGCACCGTACTTTCTGTCCATACCGACAGAGGTGCAGAGATGGAAGTCACCTTGTACATCCCAGGTACCACCCTGTGTGATCCCAAATCCCTCCTTTCCCTCAAAGTAAAATAATATGAATAGCGCCAAATACGATTGTGAGTATTGAGGAGGCATAGAACTAGTACTGCAGGTTGGGTGCTTTCCTTGCATGCATCCAGCTTGGGTTCCTTCCCCATTACTGCGTGTGGTCCCAGGAACCCCTGAGGGTGATCGAGAGTGATCTCTGGCCAAGCTCTAGGCACAGCTAGGTGTACTCCTCCTCCCAAAAAAGATTTTGAAGGTGAAATTGCAATGAATGTAAATAATTTTGTATATAAGAAAGTAGCAATGATGGTCACAGCCGCTATTGGATTATTTTTATTGATTTTGGGGTGGAAAACGTATAGTAAGATACAATCTTTTTCAAAGGAAAAATACCTGTGAAAATTAAGTAAGATCATTATCTTACCTTTATTTTTTAGTTTTCCTACACTGAAAATTATTTGTACAATTAAAGACTAAAAGTCACTTGATCACTTGATACCCCGGTACTCATCCATTGACTTGAGCGGGTGTCAGAAGCGTTTCCATTCATCCCTGTTGCGTGCTAGCGTAGCCAAATTGCATCTGCTCGTTCTAGGAATATGCAGAGCCTCAAACCGATCATTCAGGGTCTTGATGAAGAAATCTGACCATCTTGTAGGTTGGCGTCCACCCGGCGTTTTGACGTCCCGTGGAATCTAGTCAGTAATGGCTCTAGTCCAGCCGTCATCTCTAAATCTCATTAAGTGTCCAGCCCATCTGATTTTTGATGCCTTGGCAAATGAGATAGAGTCCTTGATTCTTTAGCATTGACAGAGATCGGAACTCCGGATACTATCTCTCATTTGAGTGACGCGTGATACTCCAAGCATAGCTCTTTCGATTCCTCTTTGAGAGACCCGAATAGTGTTTTCATCCTGTTTTCGTACGGCCCAGGTCTCTGAGGCATATATTATTGCAGGAGGAACAGTGGAATCAATGAGATGTGCTCAGAGCTGAAGGCTCTTTGTCCTCTTAGTTATTTCTTCAATTCTCTTAAAGGCATTACAAGCCACTCCCTTCCTCCTGCATAACTCAGATGCTAGGTCATTCATCTTGTTGATTTCTCGACCTTGGTATATATAACTGTTGCATTCAGAGATGGTGGTTTTGTTGAGAGTGAATGGATTAAAAGGAACAAGACTGTTTCTCATGAACATTGTCTTTGTGAGATTCTGTTGTAATCCGACCTTTCCACACTCACGGTCCAAGTCGGTCAGCATTTGTGCCACTTGGCTGAAGTTTGGTGTTATTAGAACGAGGTCATCAGCAAAGCGGAGGTGATGTAGTTGCTGACATCTATCTTCACTCCCATTCCTTCCCATTCCAGTTGTTGCATGATATTCTCGAGGGTGGCACTGAAGAGTTTTTGTGAAAAGGTATCACCCTGCCAAACCCCTATCTTGAGCGGCACCTTGAACTCCTGAGAAACCTCAAGGAGCTTAGTTATCGTGTGGATATGGTCAATGCTGCTGAATCCTTTTTGGAACCTTGCTTGTTCACATAGTTGTCCTTCATCTAGTGTTTTGCCAATCCTATTCTGGATGACATGAGTGAACTGTTTGTAGATGACAGACATTAGGCAGATTGGGCGATAGTTGCCAATGTTGTGGATGTCTCCCTTCTTGCATAGTAGTACGGTCTTGCTGGTTTTCCATTGGGATGGAAACTTGCATTCAGACAGGTAGCGTGTGAAGAGCCGAGCCAGAGTATTGATGAGTACTGATGGTAAGTTCTTCAGGTGCTCAGGTCTGATCTTGTCTGGGCGAGGTGCTCTTTGTTTCTTTACCGAAGAGATGGCATGTCGAATTTCGGAAGGGAGAACATTGGGAACGACATATCCATCATGCGGAATTTGGTATGTGGGCAAGTGGGTGTGGCTATTAAAGAGGTCTGAGTAGAGGTCATGAATAATCTCCATTGCCCTTGTGGAAGATGTGATAGATTTGTCAGGATGTCGGAGGGCAGTCATCTTGGTCTTGTAGTTGGTGAAGGACAGCGGGCATTACAAATGCTTTTCCTGGCTTCTGCCACATCGACCAGCACTGCTGCTCTCCTGTCTTTGAGGTCATCCTTGATCTCTTCTCTGCACTGTTTTGCCAGCTCAGACATTTGCTTGCAGTTGCCTGAGGCATGTGCCAAGCCACGTTGGCGAATAAGTTCAAGAGTGTTCGAATGAACGCGGTTTTTTATGGTTATCTCTCTCATGGCATTCCTCGCACAATCCTGGAGGTGCTGAATCATTTGATCGTATTGGGTCTGCCAGAAGCTATGTCCCCTGCTGCCTCCCGGTCCACAGAGCACCTACTGTGCCACCATGGTCCAGCACTGTGAAGCCCTGGGCCGTTCTGTTCAGGTGGTGAACTTAGATATCGCAGCAGAGCATTTCAACTATGATTTGATGGCTGGTGAGTCCCGGGCGCAGCCTTCCCTCTCTTTGGGGGCCCTGAGGCAGTGAGTGCTGCCCACTGCTTCTGGGATGGCACCGAAGCTGAAAACTTCGTTCAGACTGATCCCTGCTTTCATGGTAGAGAGCAGAAGGTAGAACATCAAGTGTTAGCATCCACTTATTAATGTGCTTGTGACAGTTCCCTTTGCTTCTCTTAATAAAAAGTGAGATGTCACAGGCATCGCTTTAAATTCTTGGGTCAGAGGGGATTGAAGTCAAGTTGGCTGCATGCAAGGCAAGCGCCTTTAGTCTATCTTGCCCTTGTTTTTCCTGATGCTCGGGTGAGTCCTGGCTCTGCACTCAGGAATAATTCCTGGTGGTGCTTGGGGAGACCATATGGATGCCGGGGATTGAACCCTGATCAAAAGTGTGCAAGGCGAACGCCCTATCCACTGTACTATCCCTCCCTGCCCTGTCCCTTGCTTCACCTCTTTTATTTTATTTTATTTTATTTTGCTTTTTGGGTCACACTCCGCAATGCTCAGGGGTCACTCCTGGTTCATGCACTCAGGAACTATTCCTGGCTGTGCTCAGGGGACCATATGGGTTGCTGGGAATTGAACCCGAGTTGGGCCACGTGCAAGGCAAACGCCCTACCCGCTGTGCTATCGCTCCAACCCCACTTCACTTTTTTTAGAACAGATGCTTTATATGCACAGTATTGAGAATGCAAAAGGTACCTGAGAGTGTGCAGGAAAAGTTCACTCCCAACTCTTGCTTCCTGTGAGGCCGAGAATATTTCCTAAGTCTGTAGTGTTATTCCTTAGCATCTTTGCACAAAATTAAGTGTGGAGGCCAGGTAGACAGTAGAGGGGTTCGGAGCAAATAATTGGCACACATAGGATGCTGTTTTAATGCCCAGCACTGCAGGGCCCCCTGAGCACTGTTGGGTACCGTAGTCCTGTAGCCCCTAAGCCCTTCCAGGTGATCATCTCATTTTGGGGCGCTGCTGTTTGCTCTCTGGCCCCTGGGCCTCCTGAACACTGCCTGGGAGGCCAAAGGGGAAGAAAAAAAATCAGAGTCCAAGGTGCTAACTTAGAGGAATGTAGTGCATGTTTCGGGATGCCCCTGACCACCAGCTGTGGTTCCAAAACCAAAGGAAGAAAGAGGTCAAAATACAGTACAAGAATTGAAGCATTTGGTTTAACTGTTGGGGGTCGCTACTGGCTCTGCTCCTGCAGGGCTTACGTGGGGGTGGAATTTGAACTGGGCCTAAATCCTTCTTGTCTCTTTGGCCTTTTGTTTTGTTTTGGGGCCGCATCTGGTGGTGCTCAGGGTTTGCTGCTGATACTGCTGTCAATCCAGGGTGTGTGCCCTGCCCTTATCATTTATAAGTACAACTACTAGCCTTCTAAGAATACTGCCCCTTGTGTTTCTGGTTTAAGTCTACCTGGGAGACTGTAATGCATCATTACTTGAGAGTGGGATTCCCTTGACTACTGTAATTTATTTAGTTGTTTTTTTTTCTTTTCTTGATGGGTGGGGTGGGGTTTGGGTCACACCCAGCTGTGTTCTGCACTTCTGGCTCTCTGCTCCGGGATCACTCCTGGTGAAGCTGAGGAACTATATGAGGTGCCAAGGATTGAACGTGGGTTGTCCACATGCAAGGCAAGCGCCTTACCCACTGTTCTATTCCTCTGGCCCCTGTTTGGTGTCTTTTTGTTTTTGTTTTTTTGTATTTCTTTCTAGCCCCTGTTCAGTTTCTGTGGATACTGTCACAGTTGTAATTACTAATTCATGTAAATATTTTGGAATGCACGCTCATTTCTTGTTTATTCTTTGGAGACATCTGGGAACTGATCGAGGTGGATGATGTGCTGAAGGATGGCTCCCTGCGCTTCGGTCCCAATGGAGGACTGTTGTTTTGCATGGAGTACTTTGCCAATAACTTTGAGTGGCTGGAGAACTGCCTTGGCCATATCGAGGATGACTACATCGTTTTTGACTGTCCAGGTAGCTCAGTAATTAGATTGTCATCTTCCCTGGGTTGTGCAGTTCTGTCCTTGGTGGGAGAAAGTGAAATTAGCATCTCATTTACTTTTACCCCAGATTCTTGGACAGTGGACTGTCATCCCATGAGGGGCTGTGGAATGTCTGTTTTCTTCTGTTTGGGGGCCACATCCAGAGGTGCTAGAGGCTGGGGCTCTTCCTAACTGTTATCAGGGGGTTGCTCCCAGCCCTGCTTGGGGAACCAAAGCATGCTGGGAACTGAGCCCAGGCTTTCTGCATGCAGAGCATATGCTCAGTCTGTTGTTTCTTGGGTACCAGGTCATGCAGCTTTTTTTTTTTTTTTGCTTTACGGGTCACACCTGGTGATGCTCAGGAATTACTCCTGGATTTGGACTCAGGAATCATTCATGGCAGTGCTCAGGGGACCATATGGGATGCTGGGAATCGAACCTGGGTCAGCCGTGTGCAAGGTAAACGCCCTACCTGCTTTACTCTCACTCCAGCTTCGGTTATGCAGCTCTTGAAAGGTTTGCTTTAGAGCTAGAGAGACAGAAGAATGGGTAGGATGCTGCTGCAGACACAGGTTCAGTCCTTGACACCATATATGGGTCAATGAATACTAGTAGGTATGGGCCAAAACCAAGATTTTTTGTTTGTTTATTTTTTAGGGCCATAGTACAGCAGCTAAAGCCCTTGCCTTACTTTCTGCCAGCCCATGTTTGGATCCCTGGTACCAGATAGGATCCCCCAAGCACTGCCAGGAGTTATTTTTAGTACAGAGTCAGGAATCCTCCCAGAGTACCAGTGGGTGTGGCCCAAAGTTCCTCCCCTCAAACTAAGAGAATAAAAATTTGTTTTAAAATCTGTCATTGTCGGGGCTGGATCGATGCAATAGCACAGCGGATGGGGCGTTTGCCTTGCACGTGCACGACCCAGGTTCGAATCCCAGCATCCCACATGGTCCCCTGAGCACCGCCAGGAGTGGTTCCTGAGTGCAGAGCCAGGAGTAAACCCTGAGCATCTCTGGGTGTGACCCAAAAAGCAAAAATAATAATAAATAAATAAATAAATAAATAAATGAAATCCCTGTGACTGTTCTCTAGTTGTTCATTGATTTGCTTGAGCAGGCCCAGTAACTTCTCCATTGTGAGACTTGTTGTTACTGTGTTCGTCATATCGAATACGTCACAGGTAGCTTAACAGTCTTTGCCATGTGGGCAATATACTCGCGGTAGCTTGCCGGGCTTTCCGAGAGGGGCAGAGGAGTTGAACCCGGTTTGGCTGGGCCGGCTGCGAGCATGGCAAATGCCCTACCGCTGTGCTGTCACTGCAGCCCGTTTTAAAATCATTTTTAATAATTTTAGTGCAACCAGCCAACATGGCCGACTGGAGTTTGATTCCTCCACCCCTCTTGGAGAGCCCAGCAGGCTACGGAAGAGTATCTCGCCTGCACAGCAGAGCCTGGCAAGCTCCCCGTGACATATTCAATATGCCAAATACAGTAACAATTGTCACAATGGAGATGTTACTGGGCCTGCTCGAGCAAATCGATGAACAGGAGGACAGTGATGATGATGATGACAGTATATTTTCTTCGTATGCCCCTTTTACGTACATGTGCACCCAGAGTTGCTTAAAAAATTCCGGGAGGGGGGGGCAGGGAGCAGGTGTGATAGAACAATGGGTTGGGCATTTGCCTTGCATGCGGCTGACCTGGAACCCATGCATCTCATATGGTCCCCCAAGCACTGCCAGGAGTAATTCGTGAGTGCAGAGCCAGGAGTAAACCCAGCGCATCACCAGGTGTGACCCAAAATGAAAAAAAAATATTGGGGGAGCCAGAGAGATACTACAGTGGGGAGGGCACTTGCCTTGCACACAGCTAAGGTGATCCCTGTTACCCTATATGGTTCCTGGAGCCTGCCACGATTCATCCCTGAGCACAGAATCAAGAATAAGCCCTGAGCACTATAACTTAGTTCCTCCCCCCCCAAAAAAAACAAAAATTGAATATAGTGTAGGGGCTAGAGATATAGTGGGCTGGGGACATGCTTTACATGTAGTGGGCCTTGCATGTAGGACTCTGAGTAGCCTCGAGCCCTCCCAGCAGTTTCGGAGAGACCCTCAAGCATCCCCACCTGCGGCTTAAAACAAGCAAAATTGAATATATTACTTCTGGGGATTGACTTCCTTTAAAAAAAATTTGGGGGGCACCGCGGGTGCCGTATCTGATGAAGCTCAGGGGTTACTCCTAGCTCCTGTGCTCAGGAATTACTCCTGGCTATGCTCAAGGGACCCTATGGGATCGAACCCAGGTTGGCTGTGTGCAAGGCAAGTTCCCACCCTCTATACTATCTCTCAAGCCCTCTAAAACAGTTTCCGGGAAAAGTTTTTATCCCATAATTGAGGGTTGAATGTATTTCATGCTCATAATAAGCTTGTGTTCTTGGCGGTCAGATCGAGTTGTACACAAACCTGCCCGTGATGAAACAGCTGGTTCAGCAGCTGGAACAGTGGGAGTTCCGAGTCTGTGGAGTGTTTCTCATTGATTCTCAATTCATAGTGGAGTCGTTCAAGGTTTGAAACTATACCTGTCCTTGATTTTTCAGTCTCTGGCACAAACAGCGTACAAATACCTTTAGTCATAGTCATATAATTCTTAACAGTTCATGAACTATACCCACAAGTGACTTAGAACTTATGTTTGTTAAATTAATATGCTAAGAAGATGGCTCCAGTGGCAGAGCACAGAGCTGGCATGTTAGAGGCCACGTTTCCCCCTTGTGCACTGTTCAGTGTAGTTCTAGTGGTCCCAAACTCTCAGCTGTCGCCTTCAGGAGTCGTCCCAGGGCGGTATCAGAAGTAAGTCCCAAGCACCACTGTGTGTGGCTCCAGACTAGAAAAAAAAATGCTGGATGCTAGAGAGCTAGTACAGTGGGTAGAGCTCTTGCCTTGCATGTGGCCAGCCTGGGTGTCATTCCTGCCATGCTGCCACCGGGCCCCCGAGCCCCTCCAGGAGTGATCCTTGACCACAAAGCTCGGAGTACTACTGGGTATTCCCCAAAACTGAAAGGGAGGGCGTTTGCTTCCGTCTCCAGCACCTGTATGGTTCCCAAAGCTGGTCAGGAGTAATTCCTGAGTGCAGAGCCAGAAGTGACCCCTTAGTTATATCAGGGGATTGTGTGACCCAGAAACCCAAAAGGAAACACCCATCAGGGGAGGTGGAGAGGGAGCATGAGAGAAGATAACGTTAAAGGTCAGAAATAGAACAGGGCTTCCCAAAAATAAATAAATAAATAAGTAAATTTTAAAAATGGGGGCTGGAGTGATAGTACAGCAGGTAGGGCCTTGCACACAGCCAATCCGGGTTCGATTCCTAGCATGCCTCAGCACCACTAGGAGTAATTCCTGAGTGCAGAGCCAGGAGTAACCCCTGTGCATTGCCAGGTATTACCACCCTTCCCTTCTCAAAAAAAATAGTAAAGGGCTTAAGGAGCTCGCCTTGATGTGGCCCACCTGCTTTTAATCTCTGTCACTACATGTTTCCTCAGTACTGAACTCAACCCCACCTTACTCTTAACACCTTAAAATATTGTTGAGTGGAGAAGTGTGGTCACTACAGCTCGAGTTTCTCCTTCCCATCTCACCTTTAGAATCCTAAGGTCAGCTATTGGCCCAGCAGTCTTCTGTTCGGCCATGCCTGGCAGTGCTCAGGGCTCACTACTGGCGCTGGGCTGAGGAATCACTTAGGTAGTGCTCTGGGAACCCTGTGGAGTGCTGGGCTAGAACCTGGGCTGACCAGGCGCAAGGCAAGCGCCTTAAAGCCTGGACTCTTGCTCGGGCCCCAATCTTAGCGTTTCTCCTATTTAGGTGGGTTTTGTTCCAGTGGGGATCAGAAACCTTTTATGTGGACACTGTTGGTGACAACTGATTCATTGTCCCTTTCCTCCTTCCTCTTTCAGCTTATTTCTGGCATCTTGACAGCCTTGAGTGCTATGGTATCTCTAGAAATCCCCCAAGTTAACATTTTTTTTCATTTCATTTCATCATCCTGTTATTAGTCGATTGCCTCGAGCAGGCCCCAGTAAGGTCTCTTTCATCCTAGCCCTGAGATTGTATTCACAGCTCTTTAGGAGAATGAGACCCATCATTGTTACTGGTATTTTGCATATTTGGTATGCCTCTGGGAGTTTGCCAGACTCTGCCCTGTGGGCAGGCTACATTCAATAGCCTGCAAGTTTGTCCAAAGTAGGAAAGAGACAATAAGATGTCATAAAAAAAAGTTCTGATTAGATGTTAACATCATGACAAAAATGGACCTGCTGAGTAAAAGAGCTAAAAAGGAAATTGAGAAGTAAGTTCACTATAATTAAGGTCTCATTTGCAGTGCTGAACCTTTTTCGTTTCACTTTGATTGTCAGTCTACAAATTTAGTGTTTAGGATTCTTTCATTCACCAGTCTCTCATGTTTAAAGGTTTCTAGATCCAGACAGGTCGCCACCAACGTCGTCTGGATGTGGCCTTCCCTCACCTCTGAAAAAGGTTGTCATTGGTTGTAGCAAAGAGGGCAGGAGGCCACACTGAGCAGTGGTCAGAGTTTATTCTTGGCTCTGCCTCCAGAAGTCATTCCTGGTGGGCTCAGTGAGCATACAGGATGCGGGGGATCAAACCCGGGTGCATCCCTTGCCTACTTGCAAGGCAAGCGCCCACCTCAGTGTACTAGCTCTTCCGTCCCACAGCAGAGAAATTCTGCAATGTCTTTTTTTCCTGGCCACTTGGCACATCAGAATTGCCTGTACCCTTTTGAAATTTTCAGTGGTTGTTGAATGAAGATCAATTACGATAAAAGAAGTCCCAGTCTCTGGTTGGGGCAGGAGCGATAGCACAGCAGGTAGGGCATTTGCCTTGCACGTGTCTGACCTGGGTTTGATTCCTAGCATCCCATAGGTCCCCTGAGCACCACCAGGAATTATTCCTGAGTGCATGAACCAGGAATAACTCCTGTGCATCACCAGGTAAAAAAGGTAAAGGTAAAGGCCCCCCCGTTGATCGTCGATTTGCTCGAGCGGGCCCAGTAACGTCTCCATTGGAGACTTTGTTGTTACTGTGTCTGGCATATCGAATACTCTTGGTAGCTTGCCGGGCTCTGGTCCCTGAGCACAGAGCCAGGATTGCTCTGCCCTCCTGTTTGATCTAAGCAGCTCCTTAAGTTAAAGTCTTGGGGGCAGCAGGAACCTGGCCCGTTCTGGCTGATCTCTGGGTGTGGCTCAAGAACTCAAAACCAAAAAAAAAAAAGTGTAACCAAAACATAAATAAATAAATATAAATAAAAAGTCCTGGGAGCTTGGTGTGATAATCTCTGTATCCTGGCAGTTGTTCAGGTTACACAGCAGTTGGTGGGTATAACTGTCTGGCTACTGGAAGGTCCAGTCCCAAACCGTGTAGGCTTGGAAATCTCAGCCCTGGGTCCCCCACACCTGGGTTGCTCTGCCAGTTCATTTATGCGTGTAGCTCATCCAAGCGTGTGGAGAGTGGTCTCAGCATGACTTTGGCCTGGTGCTGGAGGTCTTCTGCTGTTGGCCATGGTGAGGACAGTCAGGCATGGGGTAGGAGTCTCCACCTTGTTCTCTCCAGGAGCTTGGTGTGATAATCGAGTGATTATCAGTGATTCATTAAAAAGTAAAAAATTTAAAAAAACAAATTAAAATGGAAAAATTAAAAAATTTAAAAATTTTAAAAGTGAAATTTAAGAAAAGAAAAGAAAATGGAAGTTGTTGGGGAGCCGGGCAGGCGGGGCTCTGGGTGAAGAGCAGAGAGTGTTTATTGCGCAATAACTTATTCCCTAGCACCCTCATTTTTTAAAATTATTATTAGAATTTTTTTTTTTTTTGCTTTTTGGGTCACACCCGTTGATACTCAGTGTTTCCTCCTGGCTCTGCACTCAGGAATTACTCCTGGTGGTGCTCAGTGGACCATACGGGATGCTGGGAATCAAACCTCGCGGACCACTTGCAAGGCAAATGCCATGCCCGCTGTCATATCGCTCCAACACCCCAATTTTTTAATTTTATAAAGTTTTTTACAATATTTGATTGCATTCAATATTCAGACTCCAATCCCACCACCATTACACCTTCTAAGCACCACATTTCTGGTAGTTCTATCCCGAACCGCAATCCCTGTCCCAAAGCAGAACTGAAATAATCTATTCTCTTGTACTGTTTGATATGAAAAACTGCCAGGGCGCTGGAGTGATAGCACAGTGGATAGGACGTTTGCCTTGCACGCGGCGAAACTGTGTTGATTCCAAGCATCCCATATAGTCCCCTGAGCACCATTAGCCAGGGATAATTCCTGAGTGCAGAGCCAGGAGAAATTCCTGTGCATCGACAGGTATGATCCCCCCAAAAAAAATCTCTGAAAATCCTATAAAAAAGTATCCTTAGAGGAAGGAGTGTGTATTCTACCCAGGGGCCGTTAAGCCCTTCTGTAAGAGATCACTAACATGTTGTAAAAGGTTGAGCCTTGTGTGTTTATATATATATAGCACAGCGGTAGGGCGTTTGCCTTGCACACAGCCAACGTGGCCAACCCGAGTTCGATTCCTCCACCCCTCTCAGAGAGCCCGGCAAGCTACCGAGAGTATCTCGCCCCCATGGCAGAGCCTGGCAAGCTCCCCGTGACGTACTCGATATGCCAAACACGGTAACAACAAAGTCTGCAGTGGAGACGTTACTGGACCCGCTCGAGCAAATCGATGAACAATGGGAGGACAGTGATACAGTGAATCAAAACCCTGGTTGCAGATTACGTGGCTTTTGTGCTCCAGAACCTGAGGGTGCTTTGGGCCCCCGGTTCAGAAAAGGCAAGTGCCCCAACCTAGTGCTGTCTTGTTCGCCCCAATTTTGTTAGTGAATATCTATTAGCACTACTACTGGGTATTATAGAGCATTGCCTGAACAGTAGGTCAATACATACTGGGTCTGCGGAGAAATCAATGTATTTTCTATTTTGTGTTATATTTATATCAGGAACATGAAGATGAATCGTCTTCTATGTTGGATGAATATTTTCAAGAATGCCAGAACAAATGAAGAGTATGTTACGATGCAACTGGATGCGGGCCTGGAGTGATAGCACAGTAGGTAGGGCGTTTACCTTGCACGCAGCAGACCTGGATTCGATTCCCAACATCCCATATGGTCCACCAAGCGCCGCCAGGAGTAATTCCTGAGTGAAGAGGCAGGAGTAACACCTGTGCTCTCCGGGTGTGACCCAAAAACCAAAAAAAGAAAAAGAAAAAGAAATGCAACTGGATGCTTGTGAAGAGTAGCAATCACAATTTATTTAAATGAAAATATAATAGATAAAGTAAAAACAAAGAATAAATATCATAAAATATACCGAGGCAAGATACTCATTGGTGGGAGGGTCTCCAGACAGAGACACTGATGTGAGACCCTGGGCTTCTTTCAGTTGTAAACATGCTAGGTCCTCTGGGAACTTGTCCAATGTTGCCACAGCTGGTGGCCGTGCAGCTGGTGCTCGAGAGATCAGTGACAGCGCTGTCCGTCGACACGGAGCCAAGTATGCTTTCAGAGCTGGAGCTAAAGAATCAATAAGAGAAAAGGTTACCCAGATGGCTCCTTCCATGGATTCTCCAAAGCTGACCCCAACAGGGAGCCCAGCAGGAAGGGGAGACCATGGGCCGACCTCACGGGGGTTTCCTGTGGAGGCCTCCCCAGAATGGGCTCTCCGGCCTGTGACTCTCCTTTCCCACACCAGCGCCCAGGACACCTCTAGGTGGGCCTTTTCCCATTCCCCCTTTACTTGTGCATATACACACACCCCTTGGTTCTTACCCGTTTTCTTCTGGTGCTCTGAGTCTCGTTCTCTGCCATATGTGTAAGGCCATGGCACTGAACGCGGTGCTCTTTGGGGAGTTGACAATCCTTGGCCAATCTCAACTTTCTGCTTAGATGGTGTCTGGCTCTGCTTGGTGCTGCTGATTCCAGACTTTCTTCAGAGGAACTGGACCCAGAGGATATGTAGAAGATCTTCTTTCTCTCCTGTGGGCTGCTCTGCTGAGGGAGCGTCTCTCTCTCCTGTGGGCTGCTCTGTGGAGGGAGAACCACAAAGGCTCAGCTCCAGAAGCACTGCTTCCCCCCCCACCCCCCCTTCTGAGTTCCTCCCTGCTGGTGGACCTGCATCTACACAGGTCTCCCATAGGAATGAGATTGAAACAATCAAGTTTAGAAAAGTCTTGGCCAAAGAGCACCTCCTAGTGCCAACTCAGTGAGCAGTGACCAGGCCTTGGGGGGCTAGGTTTGATGACTCACCTGCTAGGAGCAGGCTGCCCTCAAGATGTTCGCACAACACACACAGACACACGTACATACACAAATACACATACTCACACACACACCATCTCCAGTACACACTCAAATTTACTCCCTCCGATAAACACGTTCACACCCGGGTGTGCACACTCTTCCACACACACACAGCTTCTGCGCCATCACACTCAGGGAGGAGATGAAGACTGATCACGGTCATCAGTGCTGGGGCTGCCAGGGCCAGTTCCTGCTGACCTGAACTAGCGGCTGTCTTCGAGAAGAATTCCGGGGAGTTCTCCAATGAGTCCTCACCCAGTTTCTGAATCTTTTCAGTGTCCTACACTTGGGGGTTTTACAACCACGATTTCTTGGTAAACAGCAAAACATGTTTGCTGTCTGTGCGTTTCCGCAGTGAACCAAGTAATGAGTATGGGGGCAGTTGGGGAGGCTGCAGAATGTCTGGTTGCATCACAAAGAGAGGTCGGTGATGTCATCGGGCACATCACAGGGAGGCAGGTCAACTGTGGCCCTGGCAGCAGGGCTTGCTCTCTGTGCAGCCCCCTCTGGACTGCTGCTGTTCTCCCTGTCCCAGAAGTTCTATTCATGTGGTGAACTCAAGGCCATGGGGTGAGCAGGGAGCAGCCACTTGAAAGAATGTGCTGCTAAAAAGTTATTTTCCTTTTTTTTTTTATGTAGGTGTACTGCTATTTATTCGGCCACTGATTAGGTGATTGAATTGGGCATGAACTCCACCTTACTCTCTTTTTTTCATTTTTTATCACTGTCTTTATTGAATCACCGTGAGAGCAGTTACAAAGCTTTTGGGTCTAAGTCTCAGTCATACAATGAAACACCCGTACCTTCACCAGTGCCCATTCTCCACTACCGAAATCTCCAATGTACCGCCATCCCACACCCTCCCTCTACCTGTGGGGAGATGATTTCCACATTACTCTCTCTCTACTTTGATCACATTCAATAGTTCGACACCAGACCCACCATTATTATTTGAGATTTTACCCGAACACTCAGATTTGCTGAAAAGGCAACAGTAGACAATTTGTGATCTATTGCTGGTTATGGATAACATATGATGTCGCGCGGCTGCAGTAAGGCCATGTGGTTTTGAAATCCTGAAATTTTAACACTAATCTGGATGGATTTCTCCCAAAGGCCACTGGGTTTCGAGATTTGCTCCTGAGTGTCTGGGATCATGGCCATTGAGCAGCTTGATTAGGAGCCAGAGAGGGCGTTCATGAGCGATTACTTGGGGTCTTGTTGGGGTGGAGAGGACAGGACCGGCTCTCCCCCCATCCCGCGAGGCCAAACAAATTTTATCACTGTGGGCCCAAGCCTGACTGTCCAGTGGCCTCTGGAGGATGATGGCTTCCGAGCCGCCAAGAGGGAGCTGGCGGAGTGACAACACCCTTTCTTCCCTGGGGAGGCCCGGCCACAGTAAGGGACTGTGGGGTCCGGACATACTTCTGCCAATTGCCACTGGGTTTCGAGGTTTGTTTCTGAGTCTCCGGGATCATGGCCATTAAGCAGCTTTATCAGGAGCCAGAGAGGCCATTCGTTGGCGATGACTTGGGGTCTCGATGGGGTGGGGTGGACAGGCCCGGCCTCCACCCCCATCCCTCAAGGCCCTGCATGTCTCGTCACTTGGGGTCCAAATCTGACTGTCCAGTGGCCTCTGAAGGATGGCGGCCACTGCGCCGCCGAGGGGAACAGGCCAAGGCACGAAACCTATTCCCACCTGGATTGGCCCAGCATTGGTAACCTACTGCAGGGACCAGACGCATTTCTGCCAAAAGCCCCTGGGTTTCGAGATTTGTTTCTGAGTTTCTGGGATCATGGCCATGAAACAGTTCAATCAGGAACCAGAGAGGCCATGCCTCCAATTATATAGCTGAACTGGAGGTGTTCTGTGGGTGTGTTTCCCACATATCTAACTTTTGGCCGTGTACTTTCTTGGTAAACTTTGCCCAAGTCTTTGGAGTCTGGCCAAACGCACAGCAGGAATTTTTTTATTAGTGAGGTACAGTTGCAGACTTACAAATTTTTGTGCTTGGGTTTCAATTATACAGTGATCAAATACCCATCTCTCCACCAGTGCCCATTTCCCACCACCACGGATCCCAGGATCCCTCCCACCCCCCATTCCCCTCATCCCACCCTGCCATTGTAGCAGGACATTCCCTTTTGTTCTCTCTCTCTTATTGGGTGTTGCGGTTTGCAAAAGAGGCAATGGGTGACAGTCATGTTTGGTCTATAGTCTACTTTCAGCATGCTTCTCCCATCCTGGGAGGAATCTCCCAACACCTTTATTTGGTGTTCCCTTCTCTATCTGATCTCCCTTTTCCACTAGCATGTGTGGTTTGCCTCCAAGGCATGGAGGAAAATTCATGGTACTCATCTCGGCCATTCTTGGGTGTTAGTCTCCTATTTTATTACTTTATGTTCCCCAGATGAATGCATTCTTTCTATGTCTATTCCTTTCTTTCTGAGACATTTTTCTTAACATGATATTTTCCATGTAGTACCACTTGTATGGACATTTCATGACTTCGTCTTTTCTAACAGCTACACAGTACTCCATTGTGTAAATGTGCCAAAGTTTCTTTGACCAGTCATCTGTTCTCGGGCACTCAGGTTTTTTTCAGATTCTGGCTATTGTAAAGTGTGACACAGCAGCAATTTTGGGGTATGTGGATGTCTGAAGGCGCCATCATGCTGCTGATGCACTCGCCTCACAGGTACAGATTGACCTGCTGGCGGCACCATTCCCCTATCCTTTTTTTTTTAAGTGCAGCAAAAATAGATTATTGTAAGAAATTTGGAAATTGGATGTGAAGGGAGAGAAAGTGAAGAATATGGGTTCATGAGCAAACTTGGGCTTCTCCAAAGTAGAAAAAAAGTGGGAAGAGAAATAGTTGTTCAAGGGAGAACATGGACTTCTCCAGAGTCAAAAAATCTGAAAGCTCCAGAGTGAAAAAATCTGAAAGTTTGTTTTCATGAAAAAAAAATCGCAAGCAATAATGAGTCTGTTATCAGCAGCATGCCTGAATCTGATGTTTAGTTATTTTGGAATTGCTGTGCTTAAAGCAATCTTTAATAGCATCAGGGCTGCAGACTTAATATAAAGGATGGTGTGTCCTTTGAATGCAAGATGCCCAGGTCCATTCCTGGCATCATACGTTCTGTACCATCCATCAGGAGTGACTTCCAAGACCAGAAATGGAAGTCACCTTGTACACCCCAGGTACCACCCTGTGTGATTCCAAAGCCCTCCTTTCCCTCAAAGTAAAATAATATGAATGGCACCAAGTACGATTGTGAGAATTGAGGAGGCATAGAACTAGTACTGCAGGTTGGGTGCTTGCCTTGCATGCATCCAGCTTGGTTTCCTTCCCCATTCGTGTGGTCCCAGGAGCCCTAGAGGGTGATCGAGAGTGATCTCTGGCTAAGCTCTAGGCACAGCTAGGTGTACTCCTCCTCCCAAAAAAGATTTTGAAGGTGAAATTGCAATGAATGTAAATAATTTTGTATATAACAAAGTAGCACTGATGATCACAGGTGCTGTTGGATAATTTTTATTGATTTTGGGGAGCAAAATGTATTGTAACATACATTTTTTTCCAAAGGAAATATACCTGTGAAAATTAAGAAAGATCATTATCTTACCTTTATCTTTTAGTTTTCCTACACTGAATATTATTTGTACAATTAAAAGACTAAAAGTCACTTGATCGTTTGAT